GGGGGGGGGGGGGTGACAACCATCGACGAAGGGAGACAACCATCGACGATTCTCACACACCCGCCCCCTATTGCTTGAGCAGAAGAAACCTCCACGCCCACACCCCAAGCACAACGTACGCACCTGCACAGCTCCCGGGTCGTCATCTACCAACCGGACGGCGACGGAGATGTCGCCGAACCGGAACGACCGCCGCGTCTTCGGCAGCGCGTTGTCGAACATGAACCCCACCTGCGCCAAGCACACACGCAAGAACGCATTTTCACCCCTTACGTTGAAGCCACGTCGTCTTGGTAGAAGGGTTGAAGCCAAATCGTCGGTAGAAGTACAGGTGCGATGTGCAAACCCGGACCCGTGTGTACATGGAAACGCGACGATAGCTATTTACCTGTTGTAGATACATACCGCGTAGGTGACACCAGATTTTCAAAGCTCGACTTCAGTACTCCATGAAGAAGGGGGTGAAAATCTCAATCGGCGTTATTGGAAAGATCTCGACCACATGGTTCCAACACGGCCACTCTTTCTGTTGTGGAGTAATTCGAGCGAAGCGAGATTTCTAATCTCGCCTGAAATACACAGCTCCAGTGAGGAAAAAAAAGTTTGCACGTGTGTCTGTTCGCTTTAACTTGGTTTTAGACTACATATTTGATTTTAGATTACAGGGGTCAGCAGATGCACTTTTATTTTTTCGGAGCACACTGTCAGCGGATTGCAGCAGAGAACACACGCACTGCGGGACTGCAGGCGACACCACAGAGCAAGCAACACACGCACAGCAGACAGCGTGCGCATAACAGGCGACACACACGCACAGCGGGCGACAGCATCTGGGCTCGATGCCGCTGGACTCTCTGTGGCATGATGACGCTATGTATTGCTCTGTCGCGCATGTTTTTTTTTGCCGCCGCGTGCAACTGCCAGCAATGTGAGCACAGCACCACATTAGTTCTCGAAACCTAGGACGCCGATCGCCATCGCACCACTTCGAGTGTGTGCTCCATTGTGGTGTCTCTGGGCGTGATAGTTGGGTTGGGCATGGGCGCTGTATGTGGCGAGAGCATCGCGGCGATGTGAAATTCGGTTTGGCTTTTTCGCCTGGCGATGCGGCCCGATTGCCCGGGCCAAAAAAAACGATTTGGATTCCACGGCCACGAACATCTTCCCACACACAGCACGCATGCCTAACACAACTATCACGCCCCGATATATCGCAATGGAGCACACGCTCGACGTGGTGCCATGACGATTGGTGCGCTAGGTGACGAGAACTGACTTGTGTCCTGCTGTTTCGTTGGCAGTTGGAAAAACACCGAACAAAGTAAGAGGGAACAGGGGGTTCAGCGATAGTATGCGCGGGGTACAGTGGGGGCTACGGATTAAGAGAGCTCACTTTACGAGAATTGCCGGTTAAAGAGAGGTCAAAATAGCTAGACACACCGATTCTCTTAAACCGAACCTACCCCCCCCCCCCCCCTCCTGTAGCCCAGTTAAACCGTAGCCCCCACTGCCGTACCAGCTGTCCCCCACCACTGTTGTACGTGTGATCATAGCTAGTGAGACAAACAGCCCCCACGGATGCCCGCGGGCCCCCCACTGCTGTGTTGCTCTTGCCGAGAGAGAAGAACATAATAATCTAACCAAAGAAACCAAGGATAAGGAGGGTCTAGACTAGATGTGTACGGAATGTTGAAAGAAGGAAAGGTTCAAGGAGTACCTACTGCATGGATATGGTGAAGGACAAAGCTGAAGGTCAAATTCAGGACCGAGGACATTGGCCTTCGAGAAAATAGACGAAGATTTAGGAAGGTAGACGATGAAGACGACAAGCAAATTGATATATATATCATTGCGGCTCCGTGTGCGAAGACCGGGTTCATGTAGTTAGTTGCGGAATGTCCGTTGTGCAAGAGAGAGAAGGACGTAAGTGTACATGGCCGAGCTGGCAAAATCAGAAGGGGGTTATATTACGGGGAGATGTTTGAGGCATGGAATGGCCGGGAAAAGTCGGTAGCTGTACTGGGGCAGGCATTGGGAGTGGGTTGACAAGGCGGGAAGTCGTATCGCTAGGAGAGATAGACTACGTATACCGATGCCTGCAGGGAAAGCATTTTTGAGACACCTTTGGCAAAGAAGGTAGAAAGGAACGATTGGCCATCGGTGATCGGTCCTCCTGTGGGAACAATGCTCCATCCTCTCGAGGACGCGTGGTCAATGGTCTAACCGCTAAGTAAGGCATGCAAAACATTAGAGCACGCCCCCCCCCCCATTGTTGTTTACGAAACACCCATGCCGGAATACACTGCTGTACACCTTGGAGACCACGGAATTGCTGCATTCTTTGCTACTGCTGCTGTTTGCTACTGCTGCTGTGTTCTGTTGTGCTTCGTACACAACCATAAGGAGGACTCACGCCGGGTGAGGGCCTGTAACGCACGAACATATATTGTGGAAACAAAAAAATAAATATTTTTCATCACTTCGATCAGTTTAGACCCTTAAACTTGCCATATGCTCGGTTTAAGATAGGTTTTCTCTTAAAACGAAACACCTGTTTAAGAGAAAACCTCTCCTAAATCGGATTAAGAGAAGGTCGTGTTTAAGATAGGTCTTCTTGGTCCTGCACACCCCTCTCTAAACCGTAGCCCTCACTGTATGTATGACCACGAAAGCGGGATGTGGACGGGGATGGGGCAAACCGGTAGGTGAAAGTTAACCACAGATTTCACACCAGCACAGCAGGTACGTGTAGTATCAAGTGTGTGGTGTTTGCACTCTGTTTCCGCCCGTGGACGCACACGTCTGACGACAGTTACACCTATCAGCTGTCGCTCGTTATAGCGACAGCTAGTATATCTTTGTGCTGTGAAAATCGGTTCACGGGGTGTGGTATCTTAAGTCACCTGCGGGAGATGGCGTCCTCTTGCGTTCGCGGAGTAATCGAGTTCTACTGGGATTCAAGACGCAGGGGGATCGCAACCAGCCTGCTTTTACTTTGTGGAGCTGGGATATCACAAGCTCTTCGACATTTTCAGTCACTAGCACTGCTGCATCAGTGAACAGCGTCAGCCGCACTCCACGCACGCGCTCACCCTTCACGGCAAGACCGCCATTGAGAGCAGAGGGCGGCACATCAAAATAGGCTCTCGCTCATGATTGTACCTTTCGTTTCAGCTCACTTGTTTCCGACGCCAACAATTTACAACGCCCACCACTCTTGCCGCAGAGATGCACACGCTCCAACGAAGACACAAAGCATCGCGTAGCACTAGTTGAGGAAACTGGAGCAAGTGAGTGCCCAAAGAAAGGCTGTCGGGCGGCTGCGCAGACTCCGGACTCAGACAGAAATGTGTGCATACCTCAACAACCGTCAAACATCGTTGCAAATGGCACAGCATCTACGCCACACACACTCACATCTCCAAAACAGCCGTCGTCGCTACTGTCAGTACCAGCATGCATGCATTCGCCTTCCGCCATGCCTCCCTTCATTCCCGTCCCTGCCCTGCCCTGTGCGTGTGCAAGACAAGAGACAAGAGACACGAAAGGGACGAGACTGGGGGCGCGCAGTAGGGAAAAGTGGGTCGGTGGGAGTTGACATTGTTGGTGACGTTTTGGTTGGAGGTTCGGGGATCGGGGGGTTATATTATGAGTGCTGTTACTGCTGCAATATTGCAGAGGGAGGCTGTTAAGGCTTTGCCTTTCCGTGGCCTCCTCTTTGTTCCCTCCCTCTCTTCACCAGTTCAGTGCGCGCCCATCCCCCGGTAGCGTGGGATAAACAAGTCGACAGAACAATGGCGAGGCCGAAAACAATGTGAATCAAACACAGTAAGTTAGTTATTTTTTATCCATCTCTATCATAGAGTCTGAGACAGATTAGCAATGAATTCATAGCGTCAGAAGGTACCTGTATGTCAACGATTTCCCAGACAGCATATAGGGACATCTCCCCTGCGGTTTTTGCGTTTGGCAGCGGGCGGGCCTGTTCACGAAAACGGCAAGCGAGTGAGTGAGTGAGTGATTCACTCATCATGCCTCACTGCCTGCTGTTTGTTGTTTTCGTCACAATCAGTCTGCTGCCGCGGGATGTCGAACGTGCGCGCCGCGTCCGCGCCGCGTTGATATTAGAAATAATACCTCCCACAACTTCGCAACTCCAACTTTTGGCCCCAATTGCAACCGATCTTTGAGGTAGGTTGCCGGAATCGACATTGATTGATGATGCGTAGTTTGTCTAGTATTTTCACTCTCACATGAAAGAAACACTGGCTAGAAAAAAGTGAATGACGACCGGCATGAAGATGCGTACCGTTATCGGGGGGGCGATACCTGTGTAGACCGCCACGTACACCACCGCTTTGTGTTACCGCGCCAACTTTCGCGGTCCATCGAACTCTTGATACAACAGTCAGCTGCACAGGAGTCGCTGGGGTATGAAAGCTAAGGTTACAGGAGGAGGAGGAGGAGGAGGAGGAGAGTAGAGGAATGAATCTCGACGTCGTCTCTCGCTTGTTGACGGGAGGAGTGCTACAGAATATGCTCTCAGGAGTGGTTCGGTATGCCCAAGGTGAGTTCGGACTGCGAGGGAGGTGTCGCACGCCGTCCCTCCGTCTCCTACTAACCCTCTCGCGCCGCGTAGTGCAACCGTTGCCACCTGCAGTGAAAAAACTCTGGAAATTATAAGTATCTCTTCACGAGCGAGTTCAACGCGCGCTGTGTACAAGGGATTGTTCTGTACTATAATCTACACTTCCAACAAAAATCATGATAGCCTGCAACGTTGACGAAGTCTGATTCACTTGTTTCTGTCCCGTCAAAGGTCAATTTTTGACGCCAGCCAACGAGCACGACACAAACCATCTCCGCTTTTTTCCAACCGTACTGCAGCACCGCAACCCATCGCTTGCAACGATCGGATAGACCACGCCGCCCGCCCGCCCGCAACAGCACGCTGGACAAATAAAGAGGTCTCGAGGAAGAATCACCAAACAGTACCTTCACCCAACCCCGCCCGTACTTCACGCACAATATGTCGCAACTAAGTGCTCTGCGTCACTCCCTCCAGGCTTCGTCAAAAACGTCGCTTCTGCGGAGATACATACGTACGCCTGTCTCTTTCCGCCGGGGTTGGGCGGCGGATAGAATGGGAGTGAGTCAGTCCTGGAAAGTTGGGAATGTGTGTACGTACATCTGGGTACCCAGGCATTCCACGCTCGCTCCTCCCGAAAAAAAAAAAACGAAGAATGAACTTCAGGGTATCGAGAGACACACCCACCAACCCTCCCAAAAGCTCTCCTGCTGCGTGAACGATAGACACAAAAAAAACAACGGCGCGTGCATGTTGTTGAATGCATGCGCGGAAGCACACCTATGACGACGGGCTGCCAAAAAAAAACATTTTCGACCTGTTTCAGGCATTTCAAAGCGAGATGTATCTCTTCGAGAACGCTCCGCGCCCTCGACTTCACACATACGGCAGTCCGCATCGAGTCTTTCAGACCAAACCGCCCTTGAGAGCGTGAGTCACGTTTAAGAACGCACCCATCTCTTTCTATCGCGCGCTTATATTGGCGACAAAATCCAGCTATAACAAGTACCATCGACTAAATCCAACAAATTATTATTTACTCCCCCCGCCACGCCCAACGACGTCGCTAACATTTGCCGAAAAACTTACCGCACGCCAGAACTTAATCCTTGTCGTCAGTATTCGACCGACGGCCGTTGCCCTCCCACCTCTCCCCCCACAGCTAGCTGCGAAACACCGAATCAATCAAGCTCGATCGATAGAGAATATCTTCTAGACTGCCACAGAGAAAACACTAAGGTACGTTAAGTATCGCGTTAAATATCTATGCGAAACGGCTAGACCACCACATGAGCACCACACTCTTTTTTGTGTGTGCGCTCTATTGTCTCATGTGCACGCGCGTGTGTGCGTGCGTGCGTGCGCTTGATGTCCTAAAACCCTATACCCCTGCTCTTCAGACAGAGAAAAGAAACAAAAAATAAGCGGCTGCCGTGCCATGAATGCCGCCGCACAAAGCCCCGGAAAAGCACAACGCGACGGCACCCTCCCCGCACATGCCTCATCGGAAAGTGCCAGTACATACCCCGCACCGCCGTGCCTCCGTCCCACCACCGACGCTTCATTCCTCCTGTGCAACAAAAATCGGCTCCCTGTCATGATCTCAACGCCTCGTGCACACCTCTACAACAATAAATCTGCGCCGTCCCGCCAAAGCGGGGGGGGGGTAAAACCTCATTCTACCCCCCCAAAGGTGAGGCGGCCCGCGAGCCGCGTGGTACGGCGCGCGCGCTAGTCTGCCGACCACGCCCTGATTCCTTGAGGAACGGAACGGGGGGTTGATTCAGGGTGCGGCGTTGCTCTGCCAGCGGGGACGGGAAGACAACCTATTTGAGGCGGCCGCGCACGCCAACGTTCTCCCAGCGATTGCGACATCATATATGCCTCTCTCCTCTAGGAGCTACTACCGACACTACCGACACTACTGCCGCCCGCGTTCAGGGAGGGCGACGCCGATGCCGACGCCGCCGCTACCGACGCCTTGCTCTCTCCACCTTGCCCTCCTCCCACCGCAGCAACCGCAACAGATTCAGGGGCAGGAGCGGTCTTCGCTCCGGGGGACGGAGACGACGGCTTACGGTCGCCGCGCCCGACGCTCCCCCCCATCACCATCCGCTCGAGCCGCGTCGTGGTGGTCACCGTGGCAGCCGCCGCGGCCGTCGTCGTCGCTGCCGCCGCCGCCGCTACCGGTGTCGCCGGTTCAACCTCGGTGGCAACCGCCACGACACCCTTCACCTCCGCCTCTCCGCTGAGGTCGTCTGCGCCGCCGCTCTCGTCGTTGATTGTCTCCTCCCCCCGGCTGCTGCTGTTGCTGTTGGCGTCGAGGAGGATCACGCGCGGCGGTGGCGGGGTGCCGGAGCCGAGGTAGAGGACCGGCCGGGCGGCCGCCACCTGGCGGAGCTTCCTCGAAGGAGTCAGGACCTGGTGGTGGTGGCGGTGGTGGTGGTGGTGGGCATGGCGGGGAGGGGGGAGAGGGTTCGCTGGGGGTGTCAAACAGGTGTGTGTATGTGTGTAAGCTATTCCAGATACGTGAGGCAGGTGAAACAGCGACTCGTACCTCTGGAACGGCGGAGGGAGGGAGGAAAGAGTTCGCCAGGGGTGGCAAACAGGCGCGACAAACAGGTGTGTCGGCCTTTTTGGATGCTCTTTTTAATACGTCGGAGGGCAGATGAAACAAGTGACTCGTGCCTGGCGCGGCGGCGGAAGGAGAGGCTTCGCCCTGGTGTGGGTGACAAAGAGGGTGAAAGCCTACTGTTGTGCGTCAGGCAGATGAAGCGGTATCTCGCGGGGGCACTCGCGAGTTGTGGGAGAGAGCATGGCAGCGTAGACTGCTAACGCTCGAATGATAATACAGGGCAGTCGCAGGTGGTACGGCAACAAGAGAAAGAAAGTTCACAGAATAGGCAAGCCGCCGTCGGCGCACGAAGGGGAAGAAAGCAATGGACAACGGCTTGAACAACCATGTACTCTGTGCAGGGCCGTGTGATACACCAGCAACACCGTTTCGTCTCTATACCCAGCCTGTGGCCGATTCACAGCATCACGGCGGAAAAAGAAACACACGGCGGAGAAACAAACCACAACAAATAATCAATCTACCACCAACACCAAGGAGAAATTTTCCGTAAACCTTATGCAAACCTGGCCCAGACACAACTACGACAACGACGACAACAACAACAGCAGCAGCAGCTGCTGCAGCAAAATCCGCACGTCATGAACAACACCAACCTTCCTTGCTCACCTTGCACGGGGGCACCGCCCTGCCCATGGGGGGTTCCGACTCCTTGCACTCCTCCCACCCACCGTCCGCATCGGGGCTAGGCTTGGCCCACAGGGGGCTACGCGATTCCTTCGTCTCCTTCTCCTTCTCCTTCTCCTGAAAGCGTCAAAGAAACGGAATTTTGAGCGTGGACACGAGTGTTTCGCGCTCTATTCCGGCGTGTTCGACAATACCGTGCGGTACGACGAGAGCAAAGCAATCGCGATTGTTCCACCATGCACCGATAGCAACGAGAACATATCCCCTCTGGTCTCCCCCCCCCCCGATGTCTACCTCCCTCACCTCTTTTGCGAGACCCCCTCCCCCGTCCCCGCCCCCCTTGCTGGAGGCGCCGTCTCCCTTCTCCTTACCCTCCTCCGCAGCAGCAGCCTTGCCGGCACAAGTTTCGGTGCCGTTACTCGCGGCTCCCGCTCCCGCCGACGCCGAAGGCGCCGCGCCCTCATCCTTGGCGTTGGGTCCGAAGAGCATCTTGGGCGTCGCCCGAGAGGGCGGCGAGCTGTCCCCCGCGGTAGCTCCCTGTTGGAATCAATTCATTGTTTGGTTTTGTTAGAGCATCATCTCAGGGGTATTGTTGTTGTTACACAGCAACAGCAGTCCCATGTTGGTATTGGAATATTGTTGCTGGTTGTTTTGTTGGTTCTGTCAGAGCATCACCTTCGGGATATTGTTGTTACACGGCAACAACAGCAGTCCCATGTTGGTGTTGGAATCATTGTTGTTTGGTCAGGGCATCATCGTCAGGGCATCATCGCGGGGGGTTCTTTGTTGTCACACAGCGACAGCAGTCCCCATGTTGGTATTGGAATTATTTGTTGCCGGTTGTTTCTGTTGGCTTGGTCAGAGCACCCGGGGTTCCTGCGTTGTTACACGGCAACAGCAGTCTTAAAGTGACGCTGCAGCATCATCCCCATGCGCATCAAACGATCGTTTTCTTTTTTCCTCTCCTGTACTTCATTTTCTCGCACTGCTGTGCCTGTCGGTGTTGGTGCTTTTCATCAACATCATCATCATCACCTTCACCTTGGCCGTTTGCAGGAAGCCCAACAGGGAGAGTTGCCCCGGGACAGGGGCGGTCTTCGACTTGTCCCCGGCAGCCTTTTTCCCCCGTCATGATCAAGAAGAAGCAAAAGGGTGAAACAACGAATTGGGGGGGCGGGAAAGGAAGAGAGACAGAGAGACAGAGAGAGCGCGCCACGGAGTGGTGTGACGGGGGTGAGCGTGGAGTAAAGGGGCAAAGGGCGGAAAGAAAGACACCCACACACACAGAGGGGGAGAGAGAGGCAGACAGAGAGAGGGAGGGACACAGAGAGAAATGAGAAGAGAGAGAGGGAGAGACAGACAGACAGACAGACAGACAGAGAGGCAGAGAGAGAGAGAGAGAGAGAGAGAGAGAGAGAGAGAGAGAGAGAGAGAGAGAGGCGGGCACATGTCCGGCAGCAGTGAGCTGCAGTAGTTTACTCTCTGCTGAAGACAAACAGAAGGCACAGCCATACACACTACATTAAAACAACGGGCGGTAGAAAGATGTCACGCGTAACACACCTCCTCCTCGTCCCTCTCTCGAGCCAAAAAAAAACAGGAGCGAAAAGACGAGCCAACCAAAAACAACTGCACCACCGCACCGATCGCCCAGCCCACCTTGGGTCCGCTCCCGGGCGTGGTGTTGACGCCGTCATCATCATCAACGGCAGAAGAAGCGGATTTTTCGGCGGCCTTCTCCGCCTTGAGGGCGGCGGCGGCCGCGGCGACCTCAGCCTGGGAGGGCTTGAGCTCGACAGCGGAGGTCTCGACCCCTAGCCGCTCGATCACCTCGGGGTTGACGACGAAGACGGTTCCGCCGTGGAGGCTTCGCTCGCGGGTGGCCACGTCCTTCACCTTCTGGTGGACCTGCGAGAGTGAGTGAGTGAGTGAATGGCAAGATGTCGGTGTCGGTGGTCGACATGACGGGGGGGGGGGGGGGGGGGGGGCCCAAAAAAGGGGGCCCCAAAAAAAAAAAAGCCCAAAGAACCAACGGGCAAATTTTTTTTTTTGGGGGGCCCAAAAAAACCCCGGGGTTTCTAACCCCCAGCTTTTTCAAAAAGGGGCCCCCCAAAAGGGGGGGGGGGCCCCAACCCCCCTTTTTTAAAAAAACCCCCTTGGGCCTAAAAAAAAACCCAAAAAAAAAAAACCCCCCCCCCCCCAAAAAAAGGGGCCCCCCCCCCCCCCACCCAAAAAAACAACAAACCAAGGAAACCCCCCAAAAAAAAACCCCCCCCCAAAAAAGGGCCAATTTCCCCCCCCAAAAAAAAAAAAAACCCCGGGGCCCAAAAAAATTTTCCCCCCCCAAACCCCTGTTTTTAAAAAATTCCCAAAAAAAACCAAAAAAAACCCCCCCCCCAAAAAGACAAAGAAACCCCGGAATCTTTTTAAAATAGGG